GGTGGTGGTGGTAGTAGTGGTAGTCGGTGGTAGAGATGGTAGCTGTAGTAGGAGGCGGAGGAGATACCTACATGCATACATACATATGTACATGCAAAGATACACTCATGGATACACACATACATGCAGATACGTACAAGCATACATCTAGACAGACAGACACATACAAGGGGATCCTCCTTGTGCTTCGTCAGCTCCATACGTTTCAATAGGCACCATTCGTCAAGGACCGGCCCCAAAGCGGGAGAGATGCAGCAATTCTTCGAGAATGAGCTCCTGGGGAAAAAAGCTGACAGCATTAAGAAGCTCATGAAGCTCGTGTGCGACATGACTGGCGAAGATGTGGAGCAACTGACGCAGCAGAGCATGGCCATCCGCAACCCTGAAAACTCGAGCCTTGGATGCTCTTGGAAGCACTCCTGGCACCTAGCTGCCCTAGCTCGTTGTGTTTGTGTGCTTTTGTTGGCCGCTTCGAAAATGGTCCGGACCGGAGGTTTAAAGGGACGGTGCTTTAGTCACGAGGAGTGATTTACAACCAAGCCACTGACAAGCCCTATCGAAGCGGATGGAAAAACACCAAGCCCCATTCCCTGCAGCCGGCGGCGAGCTTTCGAGGAAGAGCGCCAAAGCAAAAGCGCCCAAGGCCAAAGCCAAGGCCAGCCGAACATGTCCCATCTTGGATAGTGTTTTCGTTAGCTCTTGCCCAGCCCTATTCAACCCCCCTATCGGCCTGAACAGTATAGCAAAAATTACTAGCACTAGTCAGTACTTATTAGTACTAGTACCGGTACGAATAATAGTAGTAGCAATGAGTTGTAGCAGCAATCGTAATCGCAATAGTAATCGCAAGAGCTATAGTAGTAGCAAAAGCGGTAGCAATGGGAATCGGAATCGGAATGGTGGGAAATCGTGACAGTGCGAGGGTGGGGGGCTGCTGTCTTTTAAGGGGGTGGGGGGAGGGGGGTGGGGCGCTTGCAAGTTGCGCACTCTCCCATTGAGGATTGCAAAGTACTGAGAGATGCAGTGCTGATGTTAAGCGAGCCTGGTGCCCACATCCATTCGCCAGTCGAACATAGTTGCGATATAGACACAATACCGGACACTTGGTCTTGTCGCAATCGAGCTTGCTGTGTTGCGACCTCGCCTGGGCTGTTTTACCATGCCCAGGAACCCTGCGCTTTGAGTGTTTGTGTGTGTCTGTGTGTACTCTTGCGCCTCGAGTCGAGGTCTGAGCTGGTCGAATCCTCTCTGCTTTGCACATGCCACTGTCTCGCGAGTTCGGACATGTAGGTGTCCGCCTGGCAGGAGACAGTCAGACCAAACGTCTGTCTCTCTTTGATGCAGGCTGGCAGGTACATGTACTTGAGATCCGTTGTCGTAAAGACATCGAGCGTCTAGAGTCGAACGACACACTCCAGTTGCGGAACATGTCGAACTTGAAGAGGTCAAAGCATGGAATAGTTCAGAGTGCGAGTAGCTGTTGCTTCGTTTTATCTCCGGCAGAAAGTTGGTATCACGGCTAAGATCGGCTAAGCAGCCGCCCTAGCCGGCTGGGTGGTGCATGTTGACCTTGATGCCCAATGGTCGACTCGCAGTACGTGCCATGGAAACACTTCAGCCCGAGACGGTGGACCGTCACATCCGCCCTTGGTGGCGACGCCAAACGGATGGGAGTACTGAGTGACAAACCAAGGAGCAAGGACCAGCGCTTCGCTAGGCCTCAGCTGCAGTGTGTTGGATCGGATGTGCGAGTGGATTGGGACGAAAAACAAATCTAGGCGGAGGCTGCGCCAAAAGCCGCTGTCAAGGTGAAGGCCTGGGCCTCAGTCTTGCTCTTCGGGATTCTTCGTCCCAAGGCACTGGAGGTAGTGCGGGCCGATATTGCTTCAGTCTTGAAATTCCTCCATGCTCAGGGAGGCCCCGCAAGAAACGAGCTAACGCCGAACAAGTATTTCTGCATGAGTGCGGTTTTCTGCGAAGTTTCACAGGTTGGTTGATCGGATACAAATTTGCATTGCACGCTTAAGTGTCTCCGATCTGCCATCTCCTCTGCCAGACTTCCGTGCCTTTCTTCTGTGTTCTCATCGTGGCCGAGGTCAAAGAGGAGCCTGCAAAGCCACCCAGCGAGCCCAAGCCGTCGAAGCGCCTTAGAGCTGAGTTCCGATACCTGCTCGACGTTCTGAATATCTTACATATTGTATGTACGTACAGAAAGATTGTACAAGAAGTAAAGGCTTTGGTAGGCGTACACAGGGTTCATGAGGTATTTGGCGCTGACCTTTCGCAAATCGAGCCCTCGCGATACAGCTTGCGGTCAAGTCAATGTGTAGGGTTTCTTCACCTGCGACATCTCCCACAGTGGTTAGAAGTCCAAGCCAACGTGCCGACAGTTCTTGAAACACACAGTTGGGGAACAGCAGGTTTTCCACGAAGGCCACCCCCAACTGCCAAGGAAGCGACCCAAAACCACCAATGGCAAGCTGGATCCAGACACATACCTGCCGGCCGGATGGGAGACCGTGGAGCACCACGGTCCAAGACCTCTGATCTTGTGCCTCCCAGGATTTCGCAGTACTGGTTTGAACGGCTTCACCAAAAAGTGTTTCATGATGGATCGATCGAGCAGATGCAGCACTGTATGCACTCTCCAAGCTTGTGCTTGGCACCGACTGCATGGTTCCGATCCGAAAGTCATGAGTCGATCTACAGATTATTTGCCATTTTCGCCTTTGAGATGCTGTAGCTGGAACATGTTGAATGGTTAACGTGGGTCTCCTGAGTACTTACGGGCTGCAAGACGAGCATGGTGATAGTAGCACGAGATAGTGTCTTATGGAGGTCGGTGTGGTCAGACCTTGCTTGACGAAGCTGAGGAAGGCATACAAAACCGGCGGCAGCGTCGGCAAGTGTTTCAGACCAACTTGGTAGGGCGTGTGAGTGCTTCTTGTGTTGAAGGGCAGGGTCAGAACAGCTTTGCCTGCAGGGCCGAGACTTGCGTGCCTCTGTGTACAAAGGACATATATCCGCTTCCAGAAAGTCAACGGTGGCGGTGCAATCTGCTGCACAATCAACCAGGTTCTGAAACGGCCTCTCGACGAAAGAGACACCTCCAGCAAGCTATTGCAAGACCTGAGTCTTACTGCGATCGCCTTATGTTGAGTTGCCATCTCATTGTATTGCTGAGCTCATTGTACGAGGCATCGCGGTCAGAAGCAGCTCAAATAAACATGTTATCGAGCCCCAAAACACTGCAAAGCATGTGTCTTTTCTACGACATGCAAAGTCATGGCTGCCCTTTATGAGACCGCATGTTTCAGTCGAAGAATCATGAGTTGCTGAGTTGCTTCTGTGAATGATGGGGAGCATTTCCTGAGCATCTCCGAGCCGAGGCATCTGGAAGACACTGGTGAAGATCTTACGGCGCAGTACCTAGAAATGAGAGACAAGAAAGAACACGAGAAGGCGGAGTCATGTCAAACGCTGTGGTCGTCTTGGCTTCTGAACATCTGCGAATCCCGTTACACAGCTCGGCTTCAGCGTAGGCCCAACGCCGAAGAGAAGAATCGGAAAAGAACAAAGAGATGCCACCCGGAACGAAGTGGGTTGGGCTTCTGTAGTTGTTCAAGATGGCCCTTCTTCATGATCTAGGCCGAACTGTGCACAATGATGGGCTTTCGCTGCGAGCCGTCAGCATACCACTCGCTTTGCGAAGGAAGAAGCAAAAGCGTGAAGAGCACCTCGGTAGGGAAATACTGTCAGGCTGCTCATTCAAACCAGTAGCAGGGTCCTGTCTTGCAGTCTCAGGTCTAGTCTAGGGAGAGGAGTCAACAGGAACTCAACCTGTGCGCCGCCTAGTCAAGGACTCAAGGAGGCAATCAGCACTGGACGAACTTTACTTTAAGGCTTGCATCAATGTGTTCACTTGCCCTTGATACCTGAAGCGGCATCGCCAACAGAGCAAGTTCTGCATTTGTCGGTTGGCACGCGATTCCGGCGGATCAGGTGTGCCAAAGTAGACAATGATGCAGCACAACCTAGGGCACCGGCCCAACTATGCTGGTTCAATGAAGTCAGCTTCTTCTCTCAGTTGCGAAGCCAGATCGCGAACGTGATATGATGCGAACAGGAACTTGAGTAGGCTACTCTCGAGGACAGACCTTCCAAGCGAAAGCCCATGGCCATGTGCCGCATCAAACGCCTGGGGTATCTCAGGTACATCGAAAATTTTCGTGCTGTGTACGGTGCCCTTACTGGACCACTGGTCATGGCTTTGCCGGGTCGCTCGTCTGGCTGTGGCGGATGCTAGAGCTTCTTCCTCGGGAACCTTCGATTCAAATCGCTACTACACCACCAAAGCATTTCTGTGTTCTTTAGAGTGATGTCAAGGATGTGTCTAGGGCAGAGATCGGAAAATTTGAGAGTCATATCTTTGGCTAACAGGAGTAGAATGCTTCATGTAGCGATTGCATGGAAAAGGGTTCAGTGCTTCGATTTTCCATCCCTGGGCTGCATCTGATCCAAAAACGCCCTAGCGTGATATGAACAGGCAGTTCCCCATTGTGCTCCATGCCATCCCGCGAAGCAAGGAAACCTCTGGACCTTAGTTGGGGTTAAACCGATAAGTTGCCATCCCAGGCCCATCCCTGTGAACCTAGCAGACCTAGCATAGACCTTTGAATCTGAAGCATGCACGATAAATGCCGTGGTTGCAGAGGCTGGAGCGGTGAGGCGAAGCATCAAGTTAACTGCGGACAACTCTGCTCTTCCTACTACGAAGCTTGGACACTATTTGTTGTTCATTGGCTACGTGGCAGGGAACATTTCCTGGCCCTCAGCATCCACAGCTGCAGCTTAGGACCCGGAAGGCCGTTCCTGGAAGCTTCTCAAAGACATCGAGGTCTGTTTAACAAGTTCAAGGGACATCGGAAAATTCAATGTCGCTTTGTGGTAAAGCTTTGGTCAGGGTCTTCATGCCAGGGCTCAGAAAGTGCCATTGAGGTAAGGCCCGCCAAGTTGCAGGCGCAGGAGTTTCTTCAAGACGGAAAGGACTGAGTCTTTCACAGCCGTGACCCTTGCCGACCACAGGCACACTTCGGGATGCTGATGGAACAGGGCAAGCAGGACGGAAGCTGCGAAAAGCATGAATTCTGGCACAGGTCCCTGACGAAGCCGTCATGCGTGTCATGCAGCACCTGAAATCATGAATTCTGCCTTTGCCCTTGTGCTGTAGCAGAGAGCATGTTTGCAGCCTTTGCCTCGGCTGCAGGATACATTTCCAGACTTCGATGCGGCTCGCGATTCCCAGGCCACCGACGAGAATCCCAGCTTCGAAGAGTCTTCCATTGCTCTTCGGAAGTTGGGGAGCTTAACAGTGCACAAGCAAGTTTTGGCTCTCAAGAGGAGCTGCCGCCTCGTGCGTGCAGATGTCGCCGTGCGGCTCAGGAATGGCAGAGTCATCAACATCGCGAGGCGAGGCAAGATAGCTAGAGTCCACTTTGGAGTCAATCTCCTTGCGTGAGGAAGACTAAGACTAAGTGGTGGGCTTGCAGATGGCCCTTGGTTTCGAATGCAGCCTCAAGGGGCGCAGCCTCTTACTGCATCCAAATTGAGGATGCCGCTCCCCTTCCTGCTTCGCTGACATCCATCGCTCACCGGCACCTGACCGTGTCAACCCGCTACATCTCCGGAACACCATAAAGTCAGCAAAGGATTTGTGAAGTTTGAAAGAGCGCTTTGATGCAAGTACTGTTCTGTTGGTCAGTTGGCCCCGCATAGAGGCAGCAGAACCAAGTAGAAGCATGGACGCGGGAGCAAAAGAAGCCTGGAGAGGAGTGCCCGGTCTGCATTGGAAACGAGTTTCAGGGTCATGGAAGGCTTCAGGTTTCCCTTGGCTGGGGGGCAAGAATTCCAGCTTACATTCGGGAGCAAGACCTTCCTGAGTGATGGAGCGAAGTGAGGAACGGCTTAGCGCTTCTCAGCAATAAGCCAAAAGCTCTGAGGAAGCTCAGGAGGCGAAAGAAGGAGGCTGGGTGCAAAGTCAGCATTCTTGATTGCTGCGGTTCTCTCACAGAAGGCGTTGCTTCTGAAAGCTTGGAAGATGTCTTAGGTAGTGTGCAGGCTTCGGGTTGGGAGGGCCTTTGTGTTGGATCTTGGGCTCGTGCCCAGCGCCTTGTGCTGGAAGGTATGCTGACAGAGACAGCTGTGCCCACTCCCACTCCGTGAAGTACCGCATGCTTTTGGATCCAATTGTGTTGAAAATGCGCTTAAGCCTCGACTTATCGAACATGCTGTATCACTGAGGTCTTGATGTATGTATCTCTCTAGCCTTCTACCGACATGTGTATCTGTCTATCTGTTTATCTATCTGGCTATGTCTCTCTCTCTCTCTCTCCCTCCCCCTCTAGCTCTCCATCTATCTATCTATTTATCTATCTATCCATCTATCCATCTATCCATCTATCTATCCATCTATCCATCTATCTATCCATCTATCTATCTATATATCTATCTGTCTAGATATATACATATATATATATATTTATTTATTTATATTTACATTTAGCCGTCCATCCATCCATCCATCCATCCATCCATCCATCCATCGATCCATCTATTTGTTTGTTTATCTAGCTATCTGTCTATCTACCTATCTCTTTCTCCATCTATCTATCTCTTCCTCGACGTGTGCATGTTTGCAGACAGCGCTCAAGGAGACAGACACATCATCTGAACACATGAGCGGCAGCTAGAGGAAGAGGGTATGTCTGGATGAGGCATGTATGTATGTACACACGTATGAGAAGGGTTTTAGAAATGATTTTGTCCACAGTTACAGGAGAATTCCTCAGTTGGTGCTCGCCCTCAGTCCCTCAGTTGAAGATGGTGGACTATGGCCACTATAGAGAAACCAGCCATATGAAGCTCTTCGACGTTTCCAAGATGACCGAGAAAGCGACTCTCGGTGTGAAGTTGCATCGGGGGTCTTGCTGGCAGCTGCCAGTGTTGTTGGTCCCCTGAGAGTATTTTCCACATCAGCCATGTCAGCCATGCTGGCAGATGCCCGCACAGAGCTACATGCTGGGAGTCTGTTACATGTCAGCGTCTTGATCTGGCCAACTCTTAATGACGTCGGTGGTTGTGCCACAATCTTTTGGCCAACTTCGAAATGCGGCAAGTTAGAAGTTAGCGCTTCCAGGATGGAGCAAGAAAGGCTGCCGGACGGGCCAACTCTCCAGAAAGAGGCCGGGTGTGTTGTTGATATTCACTGACACGCTTCCGGGTTTTGGAAAAGGAAGAGATGAGACCATGCCGGGCATGGGTGTGAATGGGGCCGCGAATCTCCGAGTGCCAAATGGAAGAGCTGGCCTTGACTTCTCCCCTACATACTGTGTTTTGTATTTTCTTACGCTCTGTGCCTTTATCAGGGTATTGGTTACAGGGCGTGTGCGCGCGGCCAGCGACCGTGGTGTTTCCACTTTTTCTCCAACGGGTCCCGGCCCCGTGCATTTTCTGATCAACATGACCCACGAAGCAAAAAACAAAAGTCTTGTTGTTTCCACAGACCCTGCTGCGGCAGGGGACATCGAGTTCACTGTTGTGAAGGTTGCCACTTCGAGTTTATGAATCGCGCTCCCACCACGGTCCTGTGCTCATTTGTCTTTACCAGGGCCACACTTTGCGCCTCCTGCGGGCTCGAAGCTGGTTCCATACCGCATCCCACTATCAAAATGTCGGTAGGCCTCCAATGCAGGCCCTTCCCAATTGCAAATCGACCTCTACGGAGATCAGTTCTGTTCTGTGGTCTTGCGCGCATTGCGTAGCAGCGTAGGCTAATAATCAGTGCTGGATAATCCTATGCAGCGGGTGGGCGCAGATGTAGAACTTTACAGTGATCATCGTGCTGGTTTTGACGATAGTTTGTTGCCGATAAAGAAGTCCACCATAGCCGTCTTGGTGTTTTTTTGTAATGCTCGCAAACACGTAGCCATTCTGCCGTTACTCACTGTCAGTATGAAAGGGATGTTGCCGTCATCATGATTCTTATTGTCGATACTTCTGCTCACCATCATGGAATCTAGAAACCAGTTGTTCAGCATGAGGTGTGCAGGGTCTGTTGTGCTTTTTTGCCTTGTAGCAGTGTGTGCGGTGTCTTTCTTGTAGCAAGCATTGCCATTTGCTTGCAGCCAGGCGCCACGACGAAGCTCCAGGAGCACTCCAGTGCCAGGGTGGGGAGCTCCCCAAGAGGAAGGATCCCAGCTAGTAGCGGGAGAGGGGGGGGGGAAAGCAGAGACATGTTCGCATTAGTAAAGAAAGGCAAGGGGTCCGAGCAACCACCAACCGTCCGAAAACCAAATGCCGACAGAACTCACAACCAAAGCCGGGACCGGTAGGAGGGAAAGGGGTTGGCAGCGCTTCATAGTAAATTGACCCATGCCACAGAGCCCAGCACGACATCATGCAGGGCAACCCGACACCCCAAAAGGGGGAGCAGCAAGAAGGAAAAGTGGAGACAGCATCACAGCGCGGGAGTCCACTTGCGAGCAGCCACCCACGCAGAAGCCCAGAAAGCTTGCCAGGTCACGTGGGGCAGGAGCCTGCAGGGGAGGACGGTTTGCCACAACATATCAAGGAAAGGGTCAGCAGCAACGCAGAAAACAGAGACATGTGCGCAGATGTTCGCAGAAACTTCGACTCACCAACAGTGGAGCAAGGAACCCAACATCAGCAGCTCCAACACGTGAGGTGCCACAATGTTGAAAGACCGCCAGGGGCTACATGGGGGCCGCAGGCAAGGAGCCCAGGCGGAGGAACTTGAGACATGCTCACTAGCATCAGCAGGAGCCAAAGGAACCTCACCAGTCAGCGGAGGAACTTGAGACATGCTCACAGAACTAGCATCAGCAGGAGCCAAAGGAACCTCACCAGTCAGCGGCGGCAACCGCCACCAATTGAGCCAAGTGCCGACCCCACGGAGCAAGTCATACATGACCCCCAGCGATGAGCGAACGTGGCCGGAGCGCCTTTTCATGATACCGAGAAATAGCCTATAGAGGCACTGAAGCCCGGCAGAGGGGGTCAGCTCCCAAAACAACGAAGATTTCACAGCATGATGATGAGCAAGTGCAGATCAGCAAAGAAGGGGGAACAAGGAAAGACTCCCGTCAAAAGCAGAGACATGTTGGCAGCATTTCACCAACAGCAATGCCCAACGGGGAGGGGTCCAAACAGCAACCGCGCGACGCAGCTGCCCCCGAAAGCCCAACCAGGCTCCGACGGCATGAGCTGAAGTGCACGAAGCTTTGCGGCCCCGGCAGGAACCACAGCCGCGGCCAACGAGGGCCGATATCGGGCAATGAAGACCGGCGGCAGATGGATGGGGAGCTCTGGTCCCCGCAACAAGAAAGATCCTTAGAGACATGTTCGCAGCATTTCGCAGCATGTCACAGCAAGAGTGAAAACCAACCGTCAACCACAACCACTCCATCAGCAAAGATTCTCGTCAGCAAAACCGGGATTCACGGCATCAGCAACAGCGGGGCCGAGGACAGCGTCAACCAACCGCACCCACGACCGACGGAAGTTCGCCCACGAAGCTACAGGAGCATCGCGGGCAAAGCAGACACAAGCCCGCAGCATGATTTCAGATTGAGCCAAGGCTCGGCTTCCCGAAATTTTGTGTTTGGGCTGGAAGCCCTCAGAGAGTCTGAGCCTAGGCTTGGGTTGACGATGAGCCGTAGCACCCCAAACCATAAACCGCGTAAGGCCTAGAATGCTACCTCTGTGAGCCCCGAAACCCTAACAAAACCGTGAACCGTAACGAAACCCTAAAAGCCTAAACCCGCAATCCATGTCCAGAAGCTTTAGTACAGGGTTGGCTGGATCCTGTACTTCTGTTGGTATTGAGTCGCTTCGAGCTTTGGTGGTCCTATTCTACTCAATCATGTAGAACATCAGTGGTGGGATCCGAAAGCCTCCAAAGAAAGCCTGTGTAGCAGTGATGCTTGTGCTTCCTGTCGGGAGGCCGCAGGACGGGGTAGCTTGGTGGTGTTGGTGGTGAATCCCTCAGTCTTCAGGCCTCCCGAATCCCCCGTCAGCCAAACTGGCATTCTAGACTCTAGACCCAATCAGGCGAAGGAAAAGAGGTGCGTTTGGAGCCTCGTATGCAGGGTCACCAGGCCGGTGAAGGCGTGCATCTTGGTACTTGGACGAGAATTTGAGCCATCGTGCTTGAGGGCAGGAAGGGCGCATGGTAGCTAGATGTGCCACGACTTTTCGTCTACATGACCGGCCATCCATCTGTCTGTGCAGCATGACTTCATCGGATCTAGCTGAGGAGCTTTTGATTCAGCAGAAGACCAAGCGTAGATGCACCTCTTGGTGCACACAGAACAAGCATGCGGCGGCTACCAAGCATTCCTTTGCAGCATTTTCGAGTCCTTGCAAGACGAAGATGCTCTGACTGCTGCCGGTCTGCATGGCAATGTAGCCTTCTTGCTTCCAGAAGAACATCAGGTGCATTTGCTCAATTTCTTATTTTCGATGATGGTATACTATAGAGTAGAACAGCCAGATGATTGTAGACCTCGTGGAACCCAGCATGAGGTGGAAGTCTGCCAGCATGCGTTTCTTTATGCTTGCCATGCAGCTTAGCCTAACTGTTGTTGCATGTACCCCCTCAAAGGAAAGATTCCCACCTAGTCTTCTTGCCTCCCGCAAATTAAGCCCTCAGGTTTAGTTTTGAGCTTTCCCGAACAAAGCGGTGTCCGGCGTGCGAGGAGAAAGCAGCACGCCAGGATGCCCACTTGGCTTCCATCTTGGAGAACATCAAATGGATAGGCTACCTGGATAGGGTCCATCTGGCCGCGCGAAATACTTTTGGCTTTAGCTGAAACAGAATTCAAAGGAGTGCCTCCAGCCAGAGAAGAAATCGAGGGTCACGCTTGCAGCATCAGGTGCGCACATATTTTTGTTCCCCTATCCAACCTGCAATAAGACTTTTGATTTCTGCACTGGCTTAAACGTCATGCCGCATTCCTGGCTAGTTCATCTGCTTTGCTCAACATCTTCCCCTAAACCCTCAGGTCGACGAAAGTCGTCGAGGACGGTTTCAGTACCTTGAGAGATGGTGCACGCCACGACAAACAACAGCGCATTTCGCGCATTGGACCGTGCACAAAGCTCAACACTGCTGGAGGCTGAGGGTTGCAGAGTCGAAAATGCTTCGTAGTGAAACCAGCTACAGCTAAAGCCCTTTCGCGCGAATATTCCCAGGAGCACGACCGCCCCATGCGCAGCCTGTATAATGTCGCACAGCTAGCAACAAGCACGGAAGTCTCCACAGAAGTTTTCACTGCGAGAAGTCACACCAGCTGGTCCTTGGGTGACTCTGTTTTGGACGACTACATGAAGGCTGAAAGTGCGCATGCCGCATGTTGCCGCATAGATCAACCTTCCTAGCTTTTCGCTGCTGTTAGTTTGCAACCGGGTGGCTGGTGTTGACAACTCGTTCCCAGTCTCGTGCTTTTTGACTTTTGCAAGCCCGACCACCAGGCCCATGGTCAAAAGCCAAACACTTAAACACGAAACCATCTAGCACGTTGGGAGATTCATGTTTCTGAAACAAAGGTGACAGACTCGATGACGTTGCTCCAGCCGCTCATGTGGCAGGCAGTGGTGGCATTCAAGGGACTGTGGAACGCCTCGCCAGACCTCTGGATCAACCTATTGCCGCAGCCTGGTCACTTCATCAGGCAATGAATGCACAGAGATGCTCATGTTCAGGACTGGTCCTCGGAACCACGGCTTTTGGCGTCGTGCTGAAGCATTCAGCAGGAACCAGAAAAGTTTCAGCGGATGTATTTGTCGTCGACGTCATGTCTTCGTCCAAAATTGAATTCGTTTTTCTGACTGATACTGAATCGCGGATGAGCGTTGAGCTCCGAAACATGCCGCCAAAGCCTGAGAAAAGGTTGCAGAGGCCTTTGTGCTTCTGAGACGGCGGAGGTGGGAAGCTTGGAAGAAACATAGTTTAATCTGCAATCGCGAGCCTGTGAACCTGCGCGCAAACCCAGCATAACTAAATGACAGTGCACACAAACACATCGTGATGTAGTGTATCTCATTGCATCGGACAGCGCTTGGACGCATGTTGACAGAAGCCGCGGCTTTGCGTGTGGCTTCAAAGGGCTGACGGTACCACACTTACAACAGATGGTTGACCGGTACAAGATTTTTCTGGAAA